ATGCAGAGTATTAGTAGTGCTTAGTATCATCTAAGCATGCATTATAATTCGGCATTGCATTCGGAGGGTTTGCATCTCCGATCACAACAACTTCATAGTGACAACGGTCGGTCAAACTTCTAAATGGAGGTGTGCCAGTGACTCACTATGGTAAAAATCTCTAGCCTCAGCCTATGATCAGGCCCCAGCCCTCGACGGGGTGTCCACCACTGCTAGGCCTCCTTAGGTCTGAAAACTGGAGAATCCCGCGCTCAAACAGGCGAGCGCCAACATTAATCGGCGAGCGAGATTTCGCCGTCTCGCGACGTTCGTTTCGATCACAACTCTACTACGATCGTTTGTGCTTTTATGCTCTTTTCTTCACATCAAGACCTCTTCTGAGAATATTACAATTGCCTCTTGCTCTCAGTGTAGTCTATTATTGCTTAGCATGACCACCTCTCGTTTGCTCCTTATCTTGCTTCATTGCAGCCTCCTCGTTAGGGGAAACTTTGAAGAGACCAAGGAGCTCAACTTGAGGTAAGTTCCTATCATCCCTACTCTCCTCATGCGCTCCCACTCAGGTATCAACTCCCCCCAATATCCACTCCCCCTCCACAAAAAGCCCTCACCTACGAAGGTGATGTGGAGGTAGCTGGATTGACCACCCCCAAGTAAGTCCCTTCAAGCCGAACCTAGGTACCACACCTTTTTCTTATCAGAGCTGAAGGCAGTAATACGACCATCTATATCATCCTCGTCGTCGTCAACGCCCTCTTATTGTGCTGTATAGTTCTGGTTGCATTCCATTGCTTCTTCCACTGCTTCCAATGGTGAGTCTATCATCGACTTATGCTCCTTTCACAACCTCCGTTTCAGGATCGGTAAGATGCTATGCATTGGGGTGTCCGAAAAGTCGCGTCAAGCGTGGCTCGAGAAGGAACTACAGCTACCACCAATAACCAAGGACAGTGGTTCACCCACAGCAACGTCTACTATTGTGGACGATATCGAGATGCAACTCGATGGAGAGAATGATTTCTAATGATACGATTTAATGATCAAACCGAGAAGGTCAAAGGCTTGAATCCTCACCTCTCACCAGAAAAACGTCCATTATTATTATTTGTTGTTCGCGTGCCCCATGATACGTGTCACTCTTATGTTGTTGAGTTGAACAGTAAAAGGTCACAATGGCAATTCCAGCTAGCATCACTGCATCATGCTTCATCATTAGTATTACAAT